AATTATTAATTTAGTTAAACTATTCTAGTTTTATGTTCATCAATTTTGCTTTCAGAGATCTTTGTGTGAATATGGTTTTCTATTCACACAAACATTTTTAATTATGAATCAAAAGTTTGGATTAATCTGGAAAGGCTGGGGACTATTTTGTTAATTGGTATCTTTGAAATCTTTTTTGGCAAAGTGAACAGTACTAAATTTTGTCTTGCATGAATATATTCTTTAGCTTAAAGCTTCTTGCTTGGGACTTGTAGCATAAGAAAATGTCTAGTTTGTCAAAGAATCTAAGGTAAAGTCAGAGAATAATACTAATATCATCAACATGATGGGGAGTTGGGTACCTGTAATACTAGCCCTGAACATTACTGCATCTTATTGTTATATACTAAGTAATGTTGATTGACTATTTCTATGAAGGATTAAATCTAAAGTTCAGCTATCAGGTCCATCCAATGGAGATTTATATTCATCACAATAAATAAATAATGAATTACTATTGAGAAATTAGTTTGCCCAACTCATGGCCAGTAGTTTTGATTTTGATATTATGCCAATGTTCTTAATACTGTGCATATTTTCTATGTCTACATATGTAACCCCAGCTTCTTCAACTGGTTTACTAATCAAGTTACAATACCTCCCCGCACCTCTCTGGAATTTTTTTTTTAACAACTGAAAGCAAACATTATATACCTGAAATTAAAAGAAAATAAATATCACTACTGATACTATTACATATTTATTCATTTATGCAACAGATCTTTATCACATGATAAAAATATATTCACAATAAACAATACTATAGTTACATAAAATGTCATACTACCAACAAGTTATTATAAATATTTCTAATAAAACTGAAATTGATACATTTATTCTACATCTGAAAATTTTTAGTATTGTTGGTTTATTGCAAAAACAGACTCAAATAAAACCTGACCAAATTAAGTAGATCTGAAATATTTTAAAATTTTAGCAAGTACTACCTAGTATTATGAAAATGCAATATTAAGAAACTTATAAGATTTATACATATATAAACTACTTGCATGTTTATATATATATATATATATATATATATATATATATATATATATATACACACACACACACACAAACTATCTTGTACTTTATCTTTGTCATTACAGTAAGAAATAAGTCAGTTTTGGAGTGAAGATGATTGAAGTTGAGGACTAAAAAGCATACAAGTGGTATAGTTGTCATCCAATAAGGCATTTGTTTAAAAGAAAAAAAAAAAGAAAAAGTCATCTTCCCATTTTGTCATTAATTTGACCTGAGTGTCCAAATTGTTTTGCAGACTTCTAAAAACCAGAAAATATCAAAAATGAATACATCAACTGTAACCTTATGAAAAGGTATAGCAAATTGTTAGGAAGTCTGTTATATTTAATGAAATAGATTTGAAAAAAAACTTGCTACTTAAATCTCCATTTTTGTAAGGCAAAAAAAAAAAAAAATTATGCATTTATACAGAAAAAATATTTAGTTCTGTAAAGTTATTTTAGTTAGAAATTGTAAAAGTTACAAAAATATTAAAGTTTTTAATAAAAATAATTTAATAATATAAAATAAAAGAAAAATCTGTTTTTCTCCACTTGTCTACATTTAAATTGTTTATGACTGGTTGTCATAATGAAATTTTCATTGAAATATACAAGCTCAAGCAATACTTGATCTTGTACATTTCAAATGGCAGAATTTCTTTCCATAATGTAGGAGCAGTTAGATAACTTATATAATGTGACTGTATTAAAAAAAAAAAAGAAAAAGATACTAAAGATGATACTTTGACCAAACATTCCAAAAATAAAGAAACCTGAAAATAACAAAAATGTACCCAGAGAGATATTAAGTATTAAGAGGAAGCTTAATGTATAATGCTAAACTACCTGTTCCTTTTTTGTGAACAGCAAAAATTGTCAGAGTTGGTCAATTTTCACACATCTTTTGTATTCAGCAGACATTACCTTTTATTTTGGTCTTTACTTTATAGAACCGTTTTAATGAAAAAAAAAAAAAAAAGAATCCAATTTCCTGAAGGCTGCAATGTAGCACCTAGTGGTTCATTGCTGAGAATAAAGTTCTGAGAGGATAGAACTAGGAAGTTGGGTGAAAAATGCTAGAAAACACTAAGTACTATACAATAAAATCAATGTCAAAAATACATTTTTTTTTCTAACTTAAACTGTTTTTGCCACCCATCTTTTGAAGCATGTTTTATCTATGTAAAATAATTAAAATGTAAAATTAAAAGGTTTTAATTCATTGTTTAAGCCGACTTTCTTGCTGCCACATATGAGAACTGAAATCTTTAAGCAAATGCTAAATTCCCAAAACTTACAAAAAAGTTCAAATTAACTTGAAGTCTGAAGAGCAGACCAGCCTATAAATGTAGGTCATTAGTCACAGTACTTAGTATTTTACTACTAAAACAATATGTTATCAGGTTAATTTGAAGACAGGCAAACTGGATTTAGGCATACTAACTACAAACGTTTAAACTGGTTTTGAAGTCAGGCAGTGAAACTACTTGCACTATATAACAAACTTTTATTAAAAAAAAAAAAAAAAATAATTCTAATTTCCCTTAAGGTGTTGTCTTGAAAAATTCCTGTACTAACAAAATTGTCACTGCAAAAATATTGATATGATATTTTTCAAGGCTAGCCTTATCTATTATGTCCTATCCCAGACTGAAAACAAAGGGAGTGGCTGAGAGGTTACGGTTTCAAGTTGCTATTCTGGCAGTAAATCTATGCAACTGCAGAAGTGCATATATCACTTAAGATTAATCATTTTTTTTTTCTAAGACAAAGTGGACATTCTGTAATCTGACCAATTAAGACTGATGCTTAAAAAAAAAAAAAAAAAAAAAAAAAAAAAAAATAAATAAAAAGAGAAAAAATTATATTTCAAGAATTAGTCTTTTATTATCTTTATCCAGCTTAAACCAGTACAATACCTTCCCATACTAAAAATGTACTGATGAAAGATAAAAAAATTGCAGCTGTTTCCCCACCCCCCCATTTGGGTCGTTAGTATTTTTCATTTGGTTGAAAGAGATTCAGATCAGAGAAAAGGAAAAAAAAAAAAAAAAAAAAAAAAAAAAAAGGTGGGAGGGAACAATGGAAAGAATTTCTTACATTTTTTATTCTTCCCAAGAGTAAAATTTTTTTTTTTTTTTTTTTTCCAAAACTGGAGGTGTGAATTGTTAGCAAATGAGCAATCACCCCCAGCTTTCCTTTTAAATCACATTTATGCAGCAGGGGGAAAAAAATTAAAGGCTAAAATTATGTAGCTAAGACATAAAAATAAAAAGCTAGCAATGTGATTAAAACAATTTTTTCACTTGAAAGACTAAAGGTTTGGAGGGAAAGAAAAAAAAAATATGGAGGGAAACATGGGCAATATTGCAAATTAAAAAAAAATACAAAGCAGTTCCCCCCCTCCCTCAGTACTCTTGTGCATATACCTTGATAAGATTTATTTTATTTATAGCCAAAAGATAAAAGGCAAGAATAGAATTTGATCACAGTGAAACTTGGGTAAAAAATTTTTTTAAACAATGGTAGAGTTGTTGTGGGGATGGGACAGTGAAATTGCCTTTAAAAAAAAAAAAAAAAAAAAAAAAAAAAAAAAAATAGGAAGATTTATATTAGGTTTATAAGAGATTTTATGAGAATAAATTTGGATACATAATGATAGTAGTATGGGAAGAAATCGTCAGAGGTAAGTGAATATTTTTTCTTTTGGAGTATAAATAACAAAGGAAAGTAACAGTGTACCCTTTGCAATTACTATTGGGACATAAAAAAATTTATTTTTTTTTTTTTAATAAATATTTCAGGGGACTAGCTAGTTTGGGTACACTACACAGTATACTTTCTTTTCAAATTATTTCAGAACTATACTTTTCATATTTCCATTATTTTTGAAAGAAAGTAACAACAGACGGATATTTTTAGGTGAAAAGGGACCCCCCCCATTTCCCTATGTGAAAGAATTTAAGTTCATATATTACATATACAATACATATATCTATTACTCTTGTGTGTATATATATATATATATGCATTATATTTATAATGGTTTAAACCATTTACAGATGATTGCAAAATGTTCTCTTCTGTAAACCATCCAATTAATTCATTTACAAATTCATAACAGGAAGGGCCAGAGCACAAGGGAAAAATGACCTATTATAGGTTTTTGTGATAATAAAGAAAGACTTAAATATTTTAGAATTTAGATATTCTTTGAGTTTTTTTGTTTTTTTTTCACCTTAATTTTTTGATCAACAATTTTATAAAGTGTCATATGAAAGAGATTAACTGTGATTCAGTGTGAAATCCTTTTATATAAGTACATTCAGTGTGAAGTACTAACAGGATTTTCCTATTGCTTGTCATTTGTATGAGATTTGTCCCAGTGTTGAAGTCAAAGGCCAAGGTTCCTTACTTGGTATGGCACCTGTGCCCTCACCATCAGCTTTCATTGAGTGAGGTCAGCATTTTCAGTAGAAACTGGCATTGCAAGAGGGAAGAATATTTGTACCAATCAAAGATTTTCAAAAATTATCCAGTTGATTACTTTTTCTCCAACCTGATGATTATGCTGACAGATGGGACTAAGCATTATACAGATAACAGCTGCTGATTTACAACTGGTAAGATCCCTGGTTCAACATTCCCTAGCCTTTGTGATATTGCAAGAGAATAGGCAACACATCTGTTCATATAAGAGTAGTAGTAATAATAATAATAATAATAATAAAAAAGCTGGTTTCAGTTCAAAGGATCACAGTTTGGTGGGTTTAGTGTCCAACAATGGATTCAGTAGTAGTAGTTGGTTTTAGCAGCACCATTAATGTAGTGGTCATTTCGTTGGTAAGAGTTTTTTTTTTTATATTTTTTTTTTTTGGCGATGATGGCTGTTGCACTTCTATGGACATCAAACAATGTCAGTTGTCAATAGAATCATCAAAGTGGGCACATCAGCATTGGGCTGGAGTATGGACTGTCACTGGAAGAAAAACTGAAAGTAAAAGAATGTTAAATTTCAGATATAAAATGATAGATCAAGAGAGGGAAGCTATAAAAGTGTCAATTCAAAATGCAAGCACAAGTGTAGAGGCTTCACTATATTCAAACATTTACTTTTATTAAGCAACATATCAAGTGTATATACTCTTATGGAGAAATGTCGTGGAAAATATTAATTCTATTAAAACACAACAGAAGAATTAATAAAAAGAAAGGTTTCAATATACAGAATTATATTAGTTTGAAGGAGGGGAATCAGTAGTGGAGATTTAAACATCAACCCAGACAAAGATGAAAATCTAGAATAATTATTTTTGGTAGGGAGAGGAAGGGATTAAAGACTTGCAATGGAAATTTCAGCAACAAATTATGATATCCTTGTAAAATTTGTATTTTTAAAATTTTTTTTTTTATTAATAAATTACTAGATAATTCACTGTATACCTGAATGACATTTTAAACATTGTTATAGCATTTATTGTCAAACATTTTAGATAAAAAAAAAAAAAAAAAATAACTGACTACTGTTTAATTTTTTATTTGCTAAATTATATTTTAGACAACAAAAAATATTTAAGATATTTTTAAGAAAATTACTTTTACAAGAAAAAAAAAAAAAATTTACATTCTTGTTTTATTGGTCAATATAGTTTTCAATAAAAGTAAAAAAATATTTACTGAAATTTCATTAATTTCCAATACAAATAACTTGGTAAATTCAGCTACAAATCTCAATTGTTCAAGCAGTGAGGTGGTAGAAAAATACATCTGGTAGCATTTCCAAATTACTAAACTGAACTACCGTTCTTAATGGTTGCTTATTTTGTTTGACAAGAACCCACCAATTATCAGTTTATTAATAGAAACAAGTTGTACTGAATCAACTTTGAACCATGAACAACTTGACCCAGGGGTGAAACAAAATGTGGAATTATTTGTTATAGAGATTGTTTCATTAGAAAATGTTTGACACATTAAGTTTAATTGACATACATAAATATGACAAACTCTACATTTCAGAAGTTCATTTCAAGACAATACCTGACTAAATATTCTTTTAGTAGCTTGGAAACAATTAAGCATCATAAATTAGCTTATATAAACTGCACACAACCATCTCTGAGAATTGAAATTACTAGTTGTATTTATAAAACTTTCTTTGGAATACTTTTGAATAAACAGAATTAGCAATATTCATGAGGGAACTGAATGTCCTTGCAAATCAAGACAAATGAAATTCAGATACAATAGTAATTAAACCTTGCAGTCATAATCAAATTTCAAAGTTTTATATCCAAATAAGATTTAACATATTAAACTTAAATTCCAAAATGTGAACTGACAAGGTATTTAAGTTAGTGGATGAAATCTTTCATTCTTGAAAAGCTATATGACCTACTCTTTTTGTCAATGTTTAAATAAGTGGCAGAAAAAAAATTAGATTAACCATAATGCTTTCATAATACCTTACACAACAGAAGACTCATTGAATATCATTATTTTAATGCAAATCTGAATCTTCTAGTACAAAAATCAGTTATAGCAAAGCATGATATACCGAGCAGATACTAAACTATTTAATGCTAAACAACTTTTAGCATGTTGTGTTTTCAGTTGTCAATGCCCTATCACAGGCTACATTAGTCTCATTGCAAATTTTTATTGAACTTACAAAGTTTTCCCAACAGTGAATAGGGAAAAAAATAAAGCACCTCGATATAAAGGATACCTTTAGAAAAATTGTTCATGCACACAGAATAATTATCTTCACAGGAAGTATATCCCACATATTAACTAGAGCTGTAAAGTTTTGTTTATATCTGCACATACTTCAATATATCTATTACAATTTCCTTCCATCATTTGATAAAAGATCAAAGTCATACAGTAGAACCCAAAATCCCATCTAACGATGGGAACACAGAAAAAGAAAAAAAAAATAAGGTCACTGATTATCAATTATAATTATTTTACAGTTCATTAGGTTTGAATAGTTAATCAGACTAAGATATAAAGGAAAATAGATTTTTAAACTACTGCAAAATGTCTAGCAAAAGAAAAGTTCAATACTTTAAATTACATGATGCTTCCACACTTATATAAATAGATAAAACTATATGGGTTTACTTACATTAAAAGCACCTATCCACTGATGAGTCAAAGTGGTGGTGGCTAGGATTAAAATTAGTGACCAGACACTTGTCAACTATTCAATGTTGACCCCTTCCTTTTATAGAGAAGCAAGTTGATGGCTATGAATCCCAACAGATGGCAGCCAAGCAAGAATGCCATAAGATTTTAGGGATGTTGCTAAATTCAGAACCTAAACAAGTAAACTACTTAATTACAGATGACAAAATGGCTATTTACACATACTTTAGCAAATTAGACAAAAGTTAACTTTCCTTCTTGAGAAATTAATTTTAAAACTAAGAATTTAAGAGAATTTAACAAATTATGAATACTTAATATTAATAACCAAAACTAGTTTAAATTTTTTTACATTTTACACAAATATAAAGTGGGAATTTGTACAAGTCATCTCAACTAAATAATTTGAACCAAGTTCTTTCTGGCTCAAACTGCTCAGCTACACAAACTAATTTTATATTTAAAATAAGTATCAAGAAAGTAAAATATTGCATTAAATGATACATTCTTGCAGGTAGATGTGGGAGATGAATCAATACTGACTGGCTACAAAGAAAACATGCATGAAAATGACATTACTAATCATAAAAGAAAATAGATAAGATACATGCAATTTAAGTAGTGTAGGAAGATAGATACAAAAATATTTAGTCCATTTCACCTAACATTACAAAGCCTTGTTTTGGTGGAAGGGAGATCTAAATACTTAAATATTTTTTTAATCTTTAATGCATTGAATACGTCTATTACTACTACTATTTCATTATTATATATATATATATATATATATATATATATATATATATATATATATATATATATATATATATATATATATATATATATATATATATATATGTGTGTATGATGTACTCTTCCCAACGAGTTCGATATATGAAGTTCTGATGACTACAAACTAATTATCTGTATGCCTATGATGGACATGACTTGAGACCAGCTTGAGAGTTGCACAGAAGACCACAAACAGTACAGGAGAATGTATTGTATCCAAGTGCAGTAGGAACACTGTTAGATGTCTTATTTTGCTAACTCGTTTTATGCAGTCGACTGATGCTTACTTCTCAGTGCAGCTATATCAATGTTGTAGTACTTCTTTAGCTCCAATGCAACCAGAGCTGATTTTCTTTCTGGTGCTGAGTTGTTGTCCTGGAGAGTTCGTATATTCCAAGTGCCAAGATGAAGTTGAGGTTGTTTCATAGAGTTCTTCGCAGTAGCCGGATATGTGTGGAACTAATTAGATGTAGTTGTCAGAAAACCAACAGATTGATTTTTTCCAAGTGGTGAAGGCTTGTGTCAGACCATCCATGCTTTTTAGATCTGTCAATAAAAAAAGTAACGGTGGAAAAGAACTTGCCAGGGAAACTCCAAATGACAGTCCTCATGTGTTATCGGAGTTTAACCTCTCCGGATCAGTCAATACCAGCCAGTACACATCTCTCAGCAGACACATGCAATATAATGACCAGGTTAAGCTGTCATAAGTTTTCCTTTATCGTGAAACCAACACTAAAAGGAGTGCTAACCAAAGCTCAGAGACTCCTTTCATCCATATCAAGGGCAGTTAGCCCATGCCAGTTCTCAACCAGGGTAAACAGATCGTCATCAATGTACCAATATATTGCTATACTTTTAAAATAACCTATAAAATTATTATCAATTATATGAGAATATTTTTTATTATTACAATTATAATAATTATTGTTGCTGTTAAAATATTTGCAAGATAGATAATAAATTGACTAGCAGTAAAAACAAAATAACGTTATAACTGGGAATGCTTTTTCAAAAAATTGAAATTATGTTACTTTGCAATTAATAAATAAATGTAAAGGAATAAAATACATACCAAATGTTATTAAAATAATCTTTGAATATAAATAATAGAAATCGTTGATTAATGAGCCACTAGCCAAAGAAAAAATAAACATTACAAAAATGCTTTTCTCTAATTCTGAAAATTATGACCATTTTCGCAAAAACAGAGAAATAAATGTTACGATTAAATATAATTCATGTTACTATAATTAAACAAATAAATTAAATGTTCTTAATATATTTAACTCTTAGTGAGATCCTTACACTTGCTAAACAATTTTTTTTTTAAATAAAAAAGAAAAATCATTGTATGCCATGATAAACAAATATGAACAAAAGATTAAAAATATGTATATTAAATACTGTAAATAAATAATAACTTTACAAATATTAAAATATAATTGAACAAAAGAATAATGGATGATTAAAAGTAAAACAATCAAGACTTTCCTTTAAATGACGTTGCTTTCTTTGAGGAAAAAAGAAAAAAAAAAAAAAAAAAAAAAAAATGTCCATTTACTCCGACATCAGTGTTCGTATATAATATGAATAAGTATAGGTTACATATTCTTTTACTTAAAATTGAATACTAATAAGAGTGCAGAAGAATCTAGATTTTCTTTATATTCAACTATTATAGAAAAGCAAAATATCTATTAGTAAGTTATTTCATACAGTTAAAAGGCTTTCTAAAATTTAAAATCACTGAAAATTCTAAAGGGAAAATATCTATGTAAAATCTTGTGTTTCTATATAACAGGTAGGAATTAGAAAAAGTACAATAAAGAAATTTAAGACTAAAACACAGTTATTTTCCTTACGTATTGTTCATATTCCAGAGGGTAAAGAAAAAAAAATTTCAGAAACAAAAGCAAACAAACAAACATTGATAAATGATTTCATTTATAATGAATGAGGAACAAAGACATGGAAGCTTGCATTAATCATGCTTAAAAGTGATTTTGCATAGATAACAAGATATGCAGTGACAGGACATGGGTAAGC